TAGTACAGTTCAAATGGGGATGTATCCGCATGAACTTTATAGCAGCGTAACTCATTCAGAAATTGTGTTATGTTGTTACCAAAGCAGATTAACGATAGGAGGATAAGAAGCAAAATAAAGCAAAAAAAGATTGCTTATGTGTGGACAAAAGGCAGCTCATGTCGAAAAACTCAGATATACCAAAAATAATTTCCATGTAGATAAGGCCTAAGTGTCTGTGGAGACATCAGACTGATGACAGAGCACAGAATCTGAATACAAATCACAGAGGGAAAAAGTGCCTCCCACTCCAACCCTACAGACCATTAGTTTACTAGAGGGGTCAAGGAAGCATCAGAAAAAAAATCTGACATCCTATGTAACAGATATCAGTCTTCAGTATTCCTTTTCTCTATTTTCTAAAAAATATGTATTCACAGCTTTCAACACCTAAAAATGTAGTAACCAAATAACATTTGAAAATGCAGCTTTATTTTCTTTGTCCTTTTTGCTTTACTTAAGTGTCAAGAGTAATTTTTAAAGCAGATGAATTTTTAAAAAGTGTTTTAAGTGTGCCCTCATTTTTCTTCCAGCAATACAGAATGATCTGCCTCTTCAGAGATACATGAATGGGGACAGCAGTATCAGCAAGTCATGAGGGTATCCCTACAGCTGAGAAAATAGTTCACACTAAATAATTTACTCAATCTATTTAGTCTCTTTTTCTACATATGCAATGTCCATGAACAAAATGGAACTTTTTCCTATTTAAATGCTGTTCACACTTACTTGACAATTTTGACGGTTTGATGCTCAATACCCAAATTAAAGCTGTGTTGGTCACATAAACCATATGGCAGTGTTTCTGTTATATATGTTCTATAGGTTATTTTCTATATTGGAGAGGACAATGATTGACACAGCATATGACAGAGTTTGCAAAAACCTTCACCAGAGTCCTGGCACACAGGCAGTTAAATAAGCCAGACAAAGATCAGACAGTAGCCTTCACAATTAAGTCTTTCTTAACTTGCACGCAAAATATTTATTTGCATGAATGCGAGGAGAGAAAAATAAACTTTAAATCTATGGCCTGCTTTGAGTTGCCTAATCTTTCTAGGAATGATGGCTCCCCATAGACTTGTGCCCCAGACTTAAGTGCTTTGGCCCATCAAAAGAGCTTGGAACATTTCCTGGCATATAGCCAAAGAAATCCATTGAAAACAGAGAGACTCCTTTAGGAGAAGAAGTTTCAATCTGCCTTTGTTATTTTTCCTTTATCTATTGGAAAGAGCAGCACAGGCTGAACAGGAGCCCACAGAGTGTCCCACTTCTACACACGGAGGCACTTAAGAGTGCTGATCCATTACAGATAGAGTGTCCTTGAATCCTTGGTTTTTTCAGACTGCCAAACTTCAGGTTGGAGTATGAGTAGCCTAGACTGACAGACTAAATAACAAAACTGCTCTACATTAACTTACGGTAAATCTATCACTTAACTAATTAAAACTGTCTTAAACTGCTACAAATAAAAATTACAAGTCTGGCGCAACCACACAAGTAAGATTATGGAAAGGAAATTTGGCAGTTGGGAACTATTTCCCCTCTTTGTAGCCTCAGCTGGTGGTTCAATGTTTGAGGGGCTCAGCGCTCCAACAGTCATTGCCAATAAACAGTTCCAGGGTTACAACCAGAGGTGGAGACATGCCATTAGTTTGGATCTACTATAGACAATTCTCTAAGAAGAAAATGTCAGATATGCACAGCTATACACTGCACTCTCTATTAATTTAGGATACATATCCATGTACCATTGCTTCACGACAATGTTAAGGGTGTTTGGGTTGCATTAACTGTACATTTCCTCCCTTTCTGAAATTTGTTTTGTTAGGCATATTAAATAAAAGTATTAGCAATCTCAATTTATATTCTTTGTTAGTTAACTTTCTTCTTTTGTTTAATTGTTTTTGAAATTGCTAATGATATAATTAGTAATATATTGGATGTTAATGTTAATTTTCAATAAGTCTTGGAGTCTTACATACACATTTTAAGGAGAGTGGTCACTTTAGATAAGCTATTACCAGCAGGAGAGTGGGGTGGGAGGAGGTATTTTTTCATGCTTTGTGTTTATAAAAAGATCTTCTACACTTTCCACAGTATGCATCCGATGAAGTGAGCTGTAGCTCACGAAAGCTTATGCTCAAATAAATTGGTTAGTCTCTAAGGTGCCACAAGTACTCCTTTTCTTCTTGGAGCACTGGGGAGGTTCCAGAAGACTGGAAGAACACAAATGTGCCAATTTTTAAAAAGGGTAAATGGAATGACCCAGGTAATTATAGGCCTATCAGCCTGACATCAATCCTGGGTAAGATAATGAAGTGGGTGATAGTGGATTTGATTAATAAAGGATTAATCGAAAATAACGTTATTAATGCAAATCAACATGGGTTTATGAAAAACAGATCCTGCCAAACTAACTTGATACATTTTTGATGAGATTACAAGTTTGGTTAATAAAGATAATACGGTTGATATAATGTCCTTTAAACTTATGTAAGGCATTTGACTTGGTATCACACAACATTTTGATTAAATAAATAGAACAATATAAAATTAACATGGCACACATTAAATGGATTAAAAACTAGCTAACTGATAACTCTCAAAATGCAACTGTAAATGGGGAATCATCATTGAGAGGGTGTGTTTCCAATGGGGTCCCACAGGGATCAGTTCTTGGCCCTATGCTATTTAACAATTTTATCAATGACCTGGAAGAAAACATAAAATCATCACTGATAAAGTTTGCAGATGACACAAAAATTACGGGAGTAGTAAACAATGAAGAGGACAGGTCACTGATTCAGAGAGCTCTGGATCATTTGGTAAACTGGGAGCAAACAAACAATATGTGTTTTAATCGTGTCTAAATGTAAATGTATACATCTAGGAACAAAGAATGTAGACCAGGGGTCTCAAACTCAATTTACCTTAGGGCCAGTGCCAATCCTCAAATGCTCCGAGCGGGCCAATGTCAATGAAGATGGTATTCACACCACCTCCCAGCCCGTTTCCCACCCTTTTCCCTCGCTCCCACTTGGCCTCATGCCGCCCTGGCTGACTCTGCCTGGCAACTAACGTGCTGCCTCCATGGCTGACTCTACCCAGCAACTAGTGATGGTATCTCTGTCCCTTTCCCCCAGCCAATGAGAGCTGCGGGGGGCAGCACCTGTAGAAGACGACCCTCTGCTGCTCCGCCGACAACAGCAAGGACAGGGAACTGCTTGTAGGGAGCGGAGCTGCCCAAGGTGAATGACACATTGCTGAGTGCAACACCTGGGAGGGTCCCAGGAGCAGCAGGATGGAGCAACATTAGGGGGAGGGGCATGTGACTCTCTCCTGCCTGCTCCCCTTCCGCCCCGCTCCACCCCAGCCAACAGTCATGAGGGCCGGATGAAAGAACTTTTTAAAAAGTTTCCATGGGCCGCAGTGGGGAGGTTCTCAGGCCGCAGATGGCCCCCGGGCCGGGACTTTGAGACCCCTGATGTAGACCATACAGGATAGAGGACTCTATCTTGGGAAGCAATGACTCTGAAAAAGATTTTGGGTCATGGTGGTTAATCAGCTGAACATGAGCTCCCAATATGACATTGGCCAAAAAAGCTAATGCTGTCCTGGGAGGCATAAACAGGGGAATCTCAAGTAGGAGCAAAGCGGTTATTTTACCTCTATATTCAGTACTGGTGCAACTGCTACTGGAATACTGCGTCCAGCTCTGGTGCCCAAAATTCAAGAAGGATATTGATAAATTGAAGAGGGTTCAGAAAAAAGCCACAAAAATTATTAAAGGACTAGAAAACATGCCTTATAGTGAAAAACTGGAAGAGCTCAAACTATTTAACAAAGAGAAGGTTAAGGGATAGCTTGATTACAGTCTGGAAGCATTTACATGGGGAACAAATATTTAATAATGGACTCTTCAAAAGGTATAACATGATCCAATGGCTGGAAGCTGAAGCTAGACAAACTAAGACTGGAAATAAGGTGTAAATTCTTAAAGGTGAGAATAATTAACTACTGGAACAATTTAACCATGGTCATAGTGGGATTCTTTATCACTGACAATTTTTAAATCAAGATTGCATGTTTCGCTAAAAGATATGTTCTGGGAATTATTTTGGGGAACTTTTGTGGCCTGTGTTATACAGAAGTCACAATACAGGAAGTGTTATTCAGGAAGTCCTTTCTGGCTTTGGAATCTATAAATGAAACAGGAGCTATCCTTGAGTGCCCAGGTGTGTAAATTTAAAATTAGCTTTTTGTGAACATCCATGTTAATAAAACTTGATTGCTTGAAAGCCTGTAGAAAGCAATGAGATGTGTACAGTGAAGAAGTTAATTCATTTTAAATTCAAATGAACACTCATGGAAAAATGGCTGTAGTATTTGCCCTGCTCAACACTAAGAAAGAGAATAAGTCATGTAAGGTGTACAAGAAGTTTAGGAAGATCTCTGTGCTACTTCACCAGTGAAAATAGTATATATATATAAAAACACTACCTACTTACCTGACCAAAACAAAAAAGATAAAGGCTTCATAGACGCAAAATATAAATTTGTTATGTAACTATGCCCAGGGTACCTGGGGTCTTGTCTACACTACAGGGAAAAGTCAATCTAAGCTACGCAATTTGAGTTACGGGAATAGCGTAACTCAAGTTAACGTAGCTTAGATCTACTTACCGCAGGATCCATACTACGCAATGTCGATGGGAGACACTCTCCCATAGACTCCCCTTACTCTTCTCGATCTGGTGGAGTACAGGAGTCAATGGGAGAACGATCTGCGATTGATTTAGTGGGTCTTCACTAGACCCGCTAAATCGACCGCCAATGCATCTATCGCCACACATCAATTCCCTGGTAAGTGTAGACAAGCCTTTAGTGAGATAGGTTGCTTACAAACCCATTGAAAGTACCTCTTTCCTTCTTAATGTTGATAAACAGCTCCTCCTCACCTGGGATCAGCAGTGCAAAATTCAAAATAATCATGGGCAGGTAGCGGATGTAGCTGCTCTTCCAGTTGCTCCTTGGTTAAACTAGGAGGAAGCCGGCGAATAACTATCTGTAAAGTAACATAGTTAAAAGTGAAGACTCATTTAGTACTAATCTAAATATTTAAATATTGTCAAAATAGTAAACAAACTACATTGCATCTTTCTGAAAACTCTCCCTAGAAATTTGAATTTCAACAGGATCCAGTCTAACCATATAATCCTGCACTGGGATGCAGTTTCTGTCACATACAGATGAGGGAATGATAGCTAACACATGTAATATAATTGTAGGACAACTGAAATACTTTAACAGAGAGTTTAGAAGCAACTATAGTTGAGCTGAGTATAAAAGATATTAACAAATTATGTAAAATCAAATTAAGTACTAAATATACAAAATACTACATTCTCTGTGTATAAAATGATTTAACATGAAGTAACTTTCTCAAAACACTTTTGTTGCAAGAATAATACATACTATATGTGACCTACTGTCTTGTGCCATTTAATTCCATAAAACAGTTAGGGTCACAATTTGCATGAAAAACATATGGATGGAGTGCTGTCAAATGTGTAAAGCAGGGAAATGAGAGGTCAGGATTTGTGTGTTCTGTTCCCAGCACTCACTCACTGTCTCACTTTAAGCAAGTCACACAGCCTTTCTGTGCAGCAGTTTCCCAATTTGTAAGGAATTTTGTGAGAATTGCTTGTAAAGTGCTTAGATGAAAGATGTTTTATATAAAAAAAATAGCAAAGTTGATGTTGTGGTGCTTTGCAGGGACTCCTTCCCTGGGGAAATTCCCCACTCCTCTGCCACAGCATTTGTCATCCTTGATTTTTAACTCACTAACTGTGACTACGCAAGCAGATTTGCAGTGATGTTGCTTGTAACTCAAAATCATTTTACAAAAGTGGATCAATATTCTTATTCTCAGTGGTTTAAGCATTGGCCTGCTAAATCCAGGGTTGTGAGTTCAGTCCTTGAGGGGGCCATTTAGGGATCTGGGGCAAAAATTGGGGATTGGTCCTGCTTTGAGCCGGGGGTTGGACTAGATGACCTCCTGAGGTCCCTTCCAACCCTGATATTCTATGATTCTTGTTTTGCAGATGGGCAAATTGAGGTACGGAGCCTGCTCCAACCACAAACCATCCTGCCGGCTAAACACTATGCTAAACCTTTGGGATATAAAACCTACCCCGCCCCATTGCGGGTAGAGACTCACAAGACGTCCGAGAACCTCTGCCGATTAACCATTCAATAAAGTGCACTACCACAGTGGTACCACTGCACCGCCCCAAATCCCTGTCATCCCCGCCCCCGCCCCTTCCCGCCTCTCCTACCCCACGCAACCCCCCCGCATTCCTCCCCACCCGGGCAAGTCCCCGCTCCCCATTCCCATAGGGAAATCCCCCCGCCCCCGAGGCAACCCCCCACCCCGAAGCAACCCCCACACTCTCCCCGCCATTCCCGTCTACCCCCCCCCCCCCTTCCCCCTGCTCCAGGCAAATCCCCCGCCCTCCGGCAAACCCCCGCCCCGCCGCGCGCTGTCCCTGGTGCTGACGCGCCGGCCGCTCACCTTGCTCAGCGCCGCTCTCTTCTCCTCCCGCTGCCTGCCCAGCGCCGGGTGAGGCGGCGGGGGCGGCCCCGGAGGCGGCGGGGGGGTCTCGGGCTCCCGGCGCGGGGACTCCCGCCGGAGCGGGGTCTCCATGGGCCGCTTCTCCCGGCCGCCCCCGCGCGCCAGCCCCGGCCTGGCCTCGCGCTCCGACCTCATGCAACCGCCGCCGGCGCAGCGACACCTCGCGAGACCCCACCCCCGCCCACCAGGTGCCGAGCAGAATCTCGCGAGATTTCAGCCAGGGCGGCGGTGGGAGGCGGGGAGACGGGGACGCAACTAGATCGAGGGGCCGCCGCCCGCTGGAGCAGGGCCGCGTGCTTCTCCCGTGTGCACCGGGTGTGGCGCGAAGCGGAGCGCAGCGCTGCTGCGCGCTGCACCTTTGACAATGGCCCCGCCCCTCTTAGAGCAGTACCTGCTGCCCATGGCCTGCTGCTGGGAAATGGGGAGCTGCGAGCTGGCTCTGGAATAAACCTTTCTCCGGGAAAGGTCGAGTCGTTTCGCCTCTTGATTGTTTGGGGAGGGATGGTGGTAGCCCTTGTGGCACCTGAGAGACTAACCAATTTATTTGAGCATAAGCATCCGATGAAGTGAGCTGTAGCTCACGAAAGCTCATGCTCAAATAAATTGGTTAGTCTCTAAGGCGCCACAAGTCCTCCTTTTTGCGAATACAGACTAACATGGCTGCTACTCTGAAACCTGTTGGTAGCCCTGGCACTCGCCTTGGTTAGCAACGTCCATGGGCAGGGAATCTGGTGGACGATGGGTATATAAGTACTCATAGCCCCTAGATGGCACAAAATAGCTTAGCCGTAGGGGGCAACAAAGCTGGGGTCTACCACGAGGTTTTAGTGGTGTCAACAATGGTCTTTATGAGGGATAGGGCAATACATGCTGGTCCAGAGGGCACAAGGATATTCACCATTGGATCTGCGTCCTCCACTACCTCCTCTGCCTGAATGCCCAGGCCCTGGGTAACCCTCCTCAGCAATTGCTGCAGAACCCCCTGTAAGGAGTGGCTGCTCTATTCCCTCCACGCCCAAGGGGTCCCACGGTGCTAGGGATTCCTGGGCTGATGCTGATGTGGAAGGGGCCATACCGCTTAGTGCCAGGACTATACACTGGTGCTGAGGCTGTTGGTGCAACGGCTGTCAGTGCCGAGGTCATCAGTGCTAATACTGCTGGGGCCGGTGTAGACGGCACCAGTGTTGCAGGGATTGGGATGGGGACATAAGGGAGCGATGGAGCTACCCCTGATCCTGCTGATGCCTACGGTGCCGGAGGAGGTATGAAAATGGCCTTGGTCACCACCCTGGAATGCGGCCCTTCGCTCTGCCCTTGGCCTTGGTGAAGAGGGGCCACTCTGCCATGGGCTGCCACTGCGTGAGCAACAGTGCCAGGTAAGGGTGCCAGGCTCATGATGACCTAGACCGTCTACTTCTGCTTCTATAAGATCAATAGGAGTCCGACTCCGAGGTCTCCGAAAAGGACCATGGAAAAGCGTTACTTCGCGGCGCCAACAGTCTGCACTGAGGTCTTGGGGACTGATGAGGCTGCTGACTCTGTTCTGGTGCCAGGGAGTAGTGCACTGGGGATGGAGACCGCTGGGACATCATTGTGGGCTCTTCCCTTGACCGTGCCAGGGGAGCAACTGGTGGCGACCTATCCCGTCTAGGCAGGGAGAATGGTGCTGTGAGATGGAGCAGGTCCTGGGCTGCCTTGAACGCCTCTGGGGTCAACAGGAGGTGTAGCTCTCGGCTTGACGATCGAGAAGGGTCTGGACTCGACCACTGTTCCACGACGGCAGGAGTCAATGCGACCGTCACTGGCAGTGGGGCCAAATTACCATAGTCCAACTCGGGTCTCAAAATGGCGAGCTCCTTGGGCCAAGCCGGGGGAGAACAAACCCTCTCTGGCCTCCTCTTCTGTGGCACTGCCGATTGAGACCAGCGCCAACCTGCAGCATGTGAGCCACAAGTGGAGCTGGGACGGTGACGAGTTCTTATCTACTTGGCACCAATCCCCACGCCAACGGTGCTGGGGCACTTTGTACCGAGGAGGAGGTACTCAGTGCAGGGTCTGCCGACCCAGGGTCGGATTGGGAGCAGAGTGCAGCTTCCGTTAGTGGGATCTTCAGGCACTGATTCCTATTTTTTAACGTCCTGGGGCGAAACCCCCTGCAGGTCCTACAGCAATCCTCTGGATGACGCTCCCGCAAACACTTGAAACATGAAGTGTGAGGATTGCTTCTGGGTATTCACTTGCTGCAGACTTCACAGGTTTTGAAGCCTGGAGACAGCTGCATGCCCCAGCGCCGGGATAGCGCTGGAGGGGAAACCCCCACAAAGGACACAGTAGGTACTTAAAGGTAGTTCTTAACTACTTAACACTAACTACAAAACATAATGAATAACTAAATACAGACTGCCAAATGTGCGGGTCATGACAAGAGCAAGGGGAAGTTCCAGCTAACTGTCACTGGTGGTAAGAAGGAACTGAAGGGGTGGTGGGTCTGTAGGGCCCTATATTGAGCACCGTGGACGCGCCACTCCATGGGGTGCATGGACTGACCCAACGGATACTTCTAGGGGAAAAATCTTCCAGCTGCCATTCGCATGCATGCGCACACACACACACACACCTGACTGGAACTGAAATGAACAAACACTCAAAGAAGAAACAGGTACCAGGGACAAGGCAGGGCTCAGGAAACAGGCAAGAAGGCAGAATCCAGTGTAGCAGCCAGCCAGGCATTCACCTAGTTGCTTGGACAACTTCCTATGCCTCCTTCTGGCTTCAATAGCAAGTCTGAGCCAATCAGAGAAGCCACAGCATCAATGTTTTCATACTCACACCCCGAAGGGAACCATAGAGTTGGTGGATCTCTCAACAGGTGGTCATCTGTGGAGGATTTCCTGATGGATAATCCCTCCCTATTTATGCTGGGGAACACATTTTATTCTGTGTTACATTCACACCAATAACCCATATGCATAAAGGTTACAACTTAATCACTTTATTTAATAATTTAATTGTTATATATTGTGGTTAATTCATAAGTAATCAATGGGGGGATTAACAGATTTAAATTGTAGGTACAAGTGTGGGAATAGGTAGGATGGGGTATCGGCTTGATAAGCATATATTATTAGTAAGTGTGTGTTAGGTAGATAAGTAAGATAACGCTATAAAGGTAAGGCCTAGAGGCCTGAGGCCTGTCAAATTTCATCTTAGCCATATCAGGCTTTAGAAGAAGGCTGAAAGAAGCTGACATGACTGGTTGGTCCAGGGTAACTAGTAAAACTGCAAGATCATCATCAAAGAGGTGTTAATTGATGATGATTGTGAAAATACGACACAAAATATCCCAGGCTATACTGCAAACTTCCCATTTCCCTTATCTGGATTTCCACATCCTATACATGTTGGGGTGCCCTGCTTTTCATAGGCTATTTTCTTAGTTTCCCTTATCTTCGTTAACATTGACATCAATAAGTCACCATGGTAACTTGCAGTCATTGCAGAATTTTCTATGGTGTTACAGTTGGGCATTTGGCAAGATGAATGGCACATAGCCACTTCTGTAGCCATAGCCGCAGTAGCATAATCCGCCACATCCAAGGAAGCCTGCAGAGCTGATTGATGATCAGACAACCTTCCACAACAAAGGACTAAAACTGCTCCCTAACCCTTTCCAGCAATTTATTTGCAAACTGAGAGATTGCCTTCCAGTTGTTATAATCACATTTAGGCAATGCAGAGCTGTAAACACACCACAGAATTAATCTTTCTCCCAAAGAGATCAAGCTTTTTTGGATCTTTTTCCTTGGGGGTGGCTGTTGCCCAGTCTTGACTACTCTTCTCTTTCACCATGGCCACTACTAGTGAGCCCAGCATAGCAAGCAAATAAATACTGCTCAAACCCTTGAGGCAGAATCTGGCGATCACATTCTGTTCATTTGGCCACAGGGGGAATGGAGGAAGGGGCTTGCCACAGGTAGGCTGTATGAGGGGCCTCATTTATGGGACGAGTTATTTCCTGCTGTAGCCAAGTACAAAACATCACTTTATGGGTATTCTCCTCCACTAGCTCTACTTGTATATGAACAAAAGCAGCCAATTTTCTGAGTAGCTCTTGGTATACCCTAAAATCATCTGATACCAGAAAGGATGCCTCTGGTACTAAAGTCTTATCTGGTCGTTAGGATGATGCATTAAGGGAAAACAAGGGAGAAACCTCCCAAGGTTAGTCCTGCAGTACTGGGATAGACTATTGCTCTGACATAGGGAGAAGTCCAGTAATACAGAGTCCATAGGTTGATTGGTACCAACTGTCACAGGCCTCAGTACCAGCAGCCAAAAACTCTCTCCTATGGAATCTGCTCCTGCGAGAGTGTGGCAATGTTGATCTGGATGCTGGAGCATCCGCCAGGCCATCCAGTATGGTCAGTAACAAAGCTGGAATGATACCAGGCCCCAGTTGTGCCTGGCCCGAATGTCCCAATCCCTGGCTCTACGCTTCTCAAATCTCCATCTGTAAGTAGGAGAATGGGACCTGGAGGAAGCCCTGGACTCTCGATAGTGAGACTCAAGGACCCACCTCAGATTCTGCTGAAATGGAATAGTCTGAAAACCAAGGCAGTGAAGTACTGAGGGTGGGCATGGGAGGGCTCTTGGAGATCATGCCCAGGATCTATGCTGGGAATGCAGCAGCAGAGGAAGCATGGTCAGCTTCCTAGCTGCTGGTACCATGCAAAAGGTGGAGCTGGCACCAAAGTGGAGGATTATGAAGAGAGCAGTACCAGGCATATGATTGGTGGGCCGACAGCAGAATGCAGTCTATACACTTTTTGTTGCAAACTGTTTATGAGAATAAGCTGTTAACAGGAAAGTTTACACACAAAACAAAAAAACCCTAACCAAAATAAAAATATATCTTCTTCCAGGACTACCCTGTAACCATCCCAAAATATCAAACTTACCTTTGAATGTTGCTTTTCAGTTTCTTGCAAGCAACAGAAAAATAATATCCCTGTACATTTATCACTTATGTCCTCTTTACCCAGAAAAACAAAATACAGATTGCTTATGCATGTTAGGGTGCAGGGGAGACGATTAAGGGACAGTGGCTGGGTATGTGTCTCAATAAGGAAGAGAATGTGTCTAATCATGAGAGGTGAGTGTGTACAAT